CCCCCCGGGCCTGGACACCCCCAGCCAGACATGTCTAGGTCCTGAGCTGGACGCTCCTATGTCCACCCCCCAGGGTGCCCCCAGCCTGGGCCTGTTCCCCCTGACCTCACCGCATCCCCAGGCTGGGTTTGGTAGTTGCAGACCCATCCTGGGGCAGAGGGCTCCAGCCCCCCCCGGCCAGGGCATGGTGCCGGAGGAGGGGCTGTCCCTTCATGGGGGGATGACAGGCTGCCCCATGGAGATTGGCACCAGCTTGTCCCCCATCCATCCCGGAAGCTCTGCACAGGATACAAGCCCATGCCAGCACTCGTGGCTCTCACCAGGGTGACAGTGTTGCGCAGCCGGCTCACCGAGTCACCTAGTTGTCACCCTGTTGTCACCGCATCTTGCCCCTGACAGCAGTTGCTGTCATCAGCCATAACATGTGTCTCGCCTTGCAGAACCGCAACCCCTTGGTGGCTGTCTACTACACCAACCGAGCCCTCTGCTACCTGAAGATGCAGCAGCACGACAAAGCGCTGGCAGACTGCAAGCGAGCCCTGGAGCTGGACGGCCAGTCGGTGAAGGCTCACTTCTTCCTGGGCCAGTGCCAGATGGAGATGGAGAACTACGACGAGGCTATCGCCAACCTGCAGAGAGGTGAGTGGGCACCGGTGCTGCTGTTCCCTGCCCTGCCCATCTGCCGGGAAAGGGCCAGGGATGGTGAGAGGGAAGCTAGTGCCGGCTCCGAGATGCCCTTTCCTTCCCCAGCCTACAACCTCGCCAAGGAACAGCGGCTGAATTTTGGGGATGACATCCCCAGCGCGTTGCGCATCGCCAAGAAGAAACGGTGGAACAGCATCGAGGAGAAGCGCATCAACCAGGAGAACGAGCTGCACTCCTACCTCACCAAGCTGATCATGGCAGAGAAGGAGAGGTAAGGTGGCACGGGGCAGCGGTGGCACTTGTAAAGGCTTTTTTAGTGCCACGAAGCCATCACAGCTCTATGCATGGTGCCTCTGCCTTCCTGGAGGTGCAGGCAGAGCCCCGCAGCTAGGGCAGTGGCAGGAGGGAAGGGAGCGATAGCATCCCTCCATCGCTTCTGGTCTCCCCGTTCTGTCCTAGGGAGCTGGCTGAGTGCCAAAAGACTCCGCAGGAAGAAAATGCAGATGAGAGCCGGAGCCGACTTCAGCTGGCCAGCATTGAGGCCAAACATGTGAGTTGGGGGGACCGGGGCTACTCATGGAGGCTGGGAGATGAGCCGGGGCTTCCTTGTCCCACCCTCATCCCCATGCTCTGCTGCGGCTGAGGAAGCTGCAGGGCTGCAGCTGTGCAGGCGAAAGCTGGAAGACTGTGGGGCAGGGCATGGCTTTTCAGCCTTCATTTTGTGGCTCAAGCTGTTGTTGCAGGGCTTTTGTGTCCCCCCATGATGGCTGCCCTTGCTCTGTCACCTCTTGTCCCAGCCTGGGGCAGCCCAGCAGCAGTGACGCCTGTTTGCACTCCCCCAGCTGCTGTACCTGTTGTTCTCTGAGGGCTGTGCAACGCGAGCGGCTCTCGGCTGCGTGTGGGTCTGGGTGCTGGCCCGGCACAGGGGACTAATCCCGGGATAAAAATAGCCCTACAAAGTCAGGTTATTTTTAAGCTGGATCACTCCTGCCATGCAGTTCAGCCTGGAGCCGCATGAACACCAGCCGGCGGCAGTGAAGGCAGAGGGGCCACCAAAAGACCTGCCACCTCATCTCTGCCTGCCGCAGCACCCGTGGGGTGGGAGGCTTCAGGGCTCTCTCCCTGTGCACCTGTAGCCCCCGTACACCAAGGTTCCCTTGTTCTCAAGGCCTTCTCTTTCAGGACAAATACCTGGCAGACATGGATGAGCTCTTCTCTCAAGTGGATGAGAAGAGAAAGGTGAGTGTGCCCTGCTGTGTGCTCCTGTCTCTCCACAAATAGAGCTGCTCGCTGTAAACCTGCTTTAGTCCGTGCTGCTTTAGTCTGTTTTCACTGCTTCGTCCTCTGAGCTGGCACCACCTCCCAGCCCTTTTCTTTGATGCTGAGCTTGCCCAGCCCCTCCTGACCCAGCTCTGCTTCTCTTGAGCCAGAAGCGGGACATCCCCGACTACCTGTGTGGAAAGATCAGTTTTGAGCTGATGAGAGAGCCCTGCATCACACCCAGCGGGATCACCTATGACAGGAAGGACATTGAGGAACATCTCCAGGTACCACCAGACTGGGGGAAGCAGGGGCTTCCCACGACCTTGCCCGCAGTCCTCCTCTGCCCATCTCTTGCGTGCCCTCCCTGGGCGTGAAGGCAGCTGCCTGCCCAACTAAGGGCTCAACTCAAAAGCCTCCTTGGGTTTGGTCCCAGTTTTACCTGCCCAGGCAGCTCCCTGCGGAGGTGCCAGGGCAGGCAGGAAGGTGGTGGGCGCTGCCAGGCCCTGCCTGAAGCGGAGGCGGCTGTTGGCAGGGGTCTTGTGCCCTGACCTGCTCTCATCTGGAGGGCTCTCCCTCTGCCCTGCTCTTTCCTCCCCCCAGCAGATGCGCGGGTGCTGGACGCCGGCACACGGCACTGGCCTTGCAGCTGCCTGCGCCCTGGGGCCGAGGCCGGGCACATGGAATAACCGGTTCGTGGCCGTCTCCTCCCTTGCAGCGCGTGGGTCATTTTGATCCTGTGACGCGGAGTCCCCTGACCCAGGACCAGCTGATCCCCAACCTCGCCATGAAGGAGGTGATAGATGCATTCATCTCAGAGAATGGCTGGGTGGAGGATTATTGAGGGGGCAGCGCTGGCCCGCCCAGGCCCCTCCCGGCTGCAGCGGCACCAACAGCTCTTGCTGGGCTGGCACCATGCCTTACTTGCTCTCCGGCTGTTCCCTCTCCACTCTGGGTGCCCAGAGACCCAGCAGCAGCCATCTCCCCTTCCCGAGGAACTGCAGCAGCTGGGTGGGCAGGAAGGCTCCCCAGGCTCCCCTCTCCACCAGCTCCTCGTGGACCACAGTACTTGGATGAAGACCTGCCCAGTGGTTTGGAGAAGGCTGGCTCATCGCAGTGGCCTGGAAGGTCTCACCAACATCTTCATCGTCTGGAGAGCAGGGTCCCCCTCAGCTACAGCGGCTGACAACCCCCAAAGATCACGTCCTGCTCCAGGGAGGTGCTGCGAGGAGCTTGCCGGGATGAGTGCCTGGTGCTGATCTGGCCTGGTCCCCTCCCTGTGTACATAGTTGTTTCCTCCTCCTTCCATGTCCTGCCTGGCCAGGGTCACGTGCGCCTCATTCCTGTAAATAGCCACTTGCCAGGGTGGGAGACCAACATTCCCTGCTGTGGATGCCAACTCACCCTCTGGCTTTTCCTGAGAAACAACTGCCCCCAGGCTGGAAGGGGCTGGCTTGCACCTCCCCTCACCTGCTGGGAGTGTGGTTCCCTGCGAACAACCGCCCAGGTTAAAGTTCTTCCTTTTACTGAAACCCCTTTTAAAAAAAAAAAAAAAAACAAACCCCAAACCCCAACAAATCCACAGCCAACTGAGCTCCAGTGCTGTGGTCGGCTGACAGCCTGCCTGGCTTTTGAGTACCCTCTGGAAATTTGCCAATGTCAATTAAAAAAAAAAAAAAAATTCAGCAATAAATGTGGGAAAAGAGCTGGAGCAGTTCACGGTGGCAATCTCTGCACCCGGCAGGCCATATTCTGGCTTGGAAAGTGGTGCTATCCCACAAGGAGCAGGTTGGCTTGCCCCTCCGTGCCATGGCCCACCCTGCCTTTGCTGGCTGGGGCTCACCCCCCCCCTGCATTGGTGTCAGGGATGTAGCAGTACATGAAGCGCTATGGCAGAACAACTTTAATCCAAGGGGGAGGGAAAAGACCAGTAAAAACCAGACCGTCTTAAGGCACTTGGTCCCAACAGCAGTAGTTGAGTGGGTGGCTGCTGGTGGGTGCTGCCCTTCCCTGGCGGCAGCAGGATCCGGAGCTGCCACCCTGGCATGCTCTTGCCACGGCTAGGGTGACAGAGGTGCATCCTTGGCCTTCCCAGCTCTACCCCAGGAAGGTGGAGATGAAGACGCTGGTGTCCAGGTTGAGC